CGGGCTCAAGCCCAAAGCGGATAACATCATTCCATGTGGTGGAGTGGACAATTGCATAAAATCTTTGATAGGTTATGCTCATAACAGTAGTGCATATCGTATTCTTGTGCATAAATCATACAATAAAAATAAAGATGAGCTTAGACGTAGCAAGAGGGCTAGAACGTCTAAATCTTTTGGTCCTAATTTTGTAGAATGTTTATTAGAGAATGATCCATAACGCTTTAAGGAGGCAAAGTATTCTCCTGAATATTATTATTTCCTAAATTAATTATGTGATATAATTAATCATGTGATATAATATTGAACTATGTAGTTGACTTACTTAGTGTGTATAATAATTCAATTTTACAATATAGTTTACTTAATGTGTGATATTATTAATTTTGTATGAGTTCATGACTGGTTTGTGTATTTAATACAACAGATAAAAATTGACTAGTCTAGCTATGTCAATTCTCCTGATTGTCAAGTGAAAAAGATCTATACTAGTGTCTAAGACACGTATAGCTGTGAATGGGCTGAATAAGAGAAGATTTTCCGATAACTTTAAAGAGTTTAATGGAAAATATTATATATACACTAAGCTAGTATACTGAGACAAACTAAATCAAGCTAGTTAGTTATAATGTACAATTTAACTAAACACAAAAATGTTATTGAGCTGCAGACTAGTTAGCTTAGTTATAAGCTAAAATGATTAATGAGGTGCACGAAACCTAAGAGGAAGATGAAAATCTGTTATTTGCTTAAATGATTGAGTTATGTGATGTGTGACACATGAAAGGTTATGACATGTTAAGATGACTAACTTAACATGAACCTAAACATAAATAACTCAAATCATAAATATGAGAAATGTGGAAGCAAATATTAATTAGAGCCTAATCTAATTAATATCTCTAGCATTAATTCACAGTAATGTCGGTAAAATAATTATAAGACTAAGCTAGTGATAAAGTGAGTACATATGCACTAGAGACTATTACACATGCTTATTGAGAAGTGAATATTGAAAGGTAGATGAACTGAAGTATTTAACATATAGTATTTCTAGAGTTGGAAAATCATAATAAATACATCAGAGATAAAATTTCAGGATTATTCCAAAGTTGTGAGGAGATATTATTTATAGATGAAATTTACTACAAGTCACCTCATCTTAAGAGAATTACTTATAAATGTAGGGCGTTCCGAGTCCTAAGAATTTTATGATATAACCAAAAATCATTTATAGTATTATAACAATAGTGCATGTTATTTCATACGAGGAAAATATTATGGAATAACTAGAAGAGTTCTTTTTCCAGATGAAGAGCTGGGTTATTTGTTCCAGTTGAAAAGTCAAGTGTGCAAGCTTATAAGTCCTTTAGTGGATTAAAGCTACTATCGAGACAATGACGTAAATGTGATGCATAAGTCATTATATGCCTTAAAAAAATTAATGATATACTAATTAGTATATTTGATATGAAAGATTTAACATCTGATAACATAGTATATTCTTAATAGAGTGAGATTGAGATAATACTAGTTATGATAACAAAAGCCTAGCTAACTTTTGTAAACGTAAATCTCAAATATAAATACTAGTCAAAGTATATAACTGATTGAGATTGCAAGACATCTTAATAATTGTGATTAATTGCACATTTTCAATCCAGGATATGACTAAAAAAAAAAATTTGGGTAGTTGAGATACACCCTAAGTCCAATATTGCATAGATCGAGGTATCTAACTAAATTGGAGGTATAATAGTGATGCAATCTGGATGTAGGATATTAAAGATTTCAAATCTAAGAGTGGATATGTTTTTAATATTAAAGGTGTAATTGTATGTTCTTTTAAAGAATCAAAGTTAGAAACTTTGAATAAATCAAACAGAAAAGTTAATAGACTTAACTTAGAGGACATTTCAAAATAAGTCTACACCTGTGCCACTAAAGAAAATGATATTGCTAACAATAAGCAATTTTAGGGCATAAAGTATACAATTGGTCTCAACTGGAGAAATCTCTGCAGAGTGTAATATTTCTAAATATAACCTTGTGGCCACATATAAAATTGAGGGTTGTATTAGAGAGCAATTGTACAAATCATTGAGGGGAATGGGATTAAAAGCCGAAAGCTAACAAGTCATCTTAATGGAAACCCAACCTAGCTGATTGGAGATCCCAATATCTAGGTTCAAAGGGACAACAGAAATTCTGAATGACTCACCAGAAGCATTGGGAAGATATAATTTTTTTACCCATTTCTATGATGAGATAGTGCTACCTACAGCGAGGATTAGGATAAGCTATGCTTTTAATGACTCTTATACCCTGAAAATTCAAGTGAGGTATGATAGGATACTCTTAATAAGAAGTCACCTATATGAGTTTGAAGTGGGGCCGCTTCTATGGGGACTATAAAGGCTAAGTTTTTTAAAGCACTCATGAATGGCAGGAATTGTTCAGGGCCAAAATGAACACAACAATGAGAACCAACTTTGTGAGGAAGGGTACTCTGTGTTTGTTATTGTCTTGGTTTACATAAGCGGATGAATAGTTCAAGACATCATGTTCACTGGTTAGCCAGTAAATCCGATAGCAATACACTAGGGAAGGTTTAAGGCCAAAATGTACCTATCCTGATGTAATAACTTTCTGACTATACTCTCTCTAGTGTTTACATAATCATCTTTTGCATTTAAGCAGCCAAATTACATTCATGTGGGGGATTGTTGGAAACTAGTTATGAAAACTAGTGTTTTAAGTGTGAATGAAACTTGTCTACAACTAATTTATAGTTGGGTGCCTATATATATCACATTAAACTATAATGTGAATATCTTAGTGTAAAAGTTGCATGCAAAGTCCAAAATTCAGGTTATTTAACATATCCTCTACCGATTCTTTATTGTATTCTTAATGTTTAATATGGTTAAGGATTGGTTAGAAACAATTAATAAACTGTAAGGATGCATTGTATTACAATACATCCGTGAATGGGTGTGTTGGTTAAAAATGTACAATAGAATAGACATAACCTATTAGAGTGGATGTGTCTAGTGGTGAACAGACACCATGTGGACCATTGCAACCTATTTGAGTGGATGTGTCTAGTGGTGAACAGACACCATGTGAAACATTACAACCCATTGCAACCTATTTGAGTGAATTTGTCTAGTGGTGAACAGACACCATGTGAACCATTGCAACCAATTGAAATAGTTGTGTCCAGTGATGAAGAGACACATATAAATGGTTGTGTCCAGTAATGAAGAGACACATATAAATGGTTGTGTTTAGTGATGAATAGACACACCCAATTCGAAAAGGCACTTCTATTTCTATAAATACCCCCTTGGCTACCATTTGCAATTCGTTCAATTCATTTTCTTCTTTCACCCTCTTTAGATTTGAACCCAACCCAAGTGGGTTCAAACCATAAGTCAAGTGATCTGAACCACTTAGACTCTGATCTAATTTCATCAAGCCATATTAAGATTGGTCCAAACCATTTGGTTCGAATTACACCCAATTCAACATTTATATAGTATTGATGCATTTTTTAGTTAGAAAGAATATTACACAGATGTAGTTCGCCGTATCCACAAGTTTAAAGTGTTGCTACCGGTGGATGTAGACCGTTGTATCCTAGGAGACAAACGTCGTTGAGTCCGTCAGCACCATGCGGGACGTAAATTATCTAAAGGACATAATATCAAATACTAGCTTCAGTTCAGGTTCTGTACTTATTAATTATTATTCTATTGCTTTAATTTGAATGTTTAATTAAATATCGAGTCGCATATTTAATTAATTATTTTAGCGTATTATTAATTATCTCGTGGCATATTAGTATAAGGTTAGTTATATCTTAAAAGTCATATGAAGCATATATATTTTTCAACAAACTATACACAACAAACATTTGTAAACTCTTCAAAACATTTACATTCTCTTACACAGGGGTGGCAATTAGTGTTCATGGGTTGTGTTTTTGCCGTGTAAGGACATGGGGTATTAATCGTTCAACACGAATACGATATGATTATTAATCGTGTCTAACAACCTTGACACCAGGTTGACATGTTTATTGCACGGGTGACATAACATGACATGTGTAACCTGTTTCATAAATAGATTAGACTTTACACGAATACAACACGTTTAGCTAAACGGGTCATTTTTAACACAAACATGACACGTTTAGTTAACCAGGTTAACTGCGTTATAAATAGGTTGACTAGTCAAACACAAACATGACACGTTTAACTACCGTATCAATTTGGGTCAACATTATTAGGACTCGAATACGATTAAGCCAAACACAAACCCACTAATCATTTGTCATGTTCGAATTGTATTAGTGTGTTGTGTATTGCCACCCCTACCTATAATAAAAAGAAAATGATTATAAGACCAAAATACCAGGATGAAGCAATGGAGAGATTTTTAACCTTGGACGTATTCAGGGATCCAAACTCATCTAGGTTCCACCTTAATATATGTAAGAGGGTTTAAAATCCCCTTTGGGTGGTGTTAGAGGTTCTTAGAATCTTATTCCACATCAGATTTGAATGGAAAAAATTATCGGCATGAATGAGTGAGTATACAGTACTACCCAACAGTTTAAGATTTTGGATTAGAGAAAAAAAACTTGACTTATTATAGTTGGTATCAAAAACAGATCTAATTTTAAATCCAGTATCATGCCAAGCATCCGTTAAGTTTGTCTCCGGTTGGCAAGGTGGTTTGCCCTACCATAATATGAATTTTTTTTTTTTTTTAATAGTTATTCTATTTTAAGATAATATAGATGATATAGGGTGTAATGTGGTTCTCATTATAACATGTAATTCAACTCATCCTCTTAATTTCCACTTTAGTAAGCTTTACACATAGTATGGAGTTTTTAAATCCAACCTTTATGTGGGTAGCTTTCACTTACTATAATTACAACCCCCAAAAGCACTGCAACACTACAGAATTCCTGCGCTCACTCAAAACCAAAACATAGTGAAAAAGCCACTTCCCCCTCTCACCTTTCACCGAAAAGTGCAAACAGAGCAGCATTTTCTTGACTTTACACTAAGCAAATTATAAACACCCATTAATTAAAGTCTAGATGACCCTTTAATCTTGCATGGGTTCATGTGACATTATCCCTCCTCACCCCAGCTTTAGAGAGAGAAAGAGAGAGAGAGAGAGAGAGAGCCGGCAGCAACATTACAAGTTCAGTTCTGGTCTTTAACTGAATTGAACTGGGTTGTTAAAAACAGTTTGATACTTCAAAAAAAAAAAAAAAGAGCCATTAGTGGGAGCAAAACTTTTGTGGGAATTGCAAAGGCTGAATAAATTTTCAGGTTTTTGAGGAGATGGGTGTTGTCACTGTTGGTGAGTTGAAGCCAAGCATCTCAGGGAAGAGGTCATTCCGGCCGAGTTCGAGTACGAGACATGTCACTGAATGGTATGGTTAATTATCTACAATGATTCAAAATTTAATTATTTTAGTATTTTTTTAGGCTATTCCCCACTGATTTGATGCTGTGTAATCTATATATTTCAGTAAATTTTGTCACATACAAATTTTGTTTGACACATACATGTGGTAATTGAAAATTCAAGTATAATAGTACTATAGAAGTAGGTAGGTAGAGCAATAAATTCTGAAATAAATTTAATATAATTATTTTTTTCTTTGCTCCAATCTTCTCAATGGTTTTTTTGGATTCATTTTTAAGGTTTCCTCGATCAAAATTTTAGATTTTTATCATTTTTCTGGGTACTTTCAAGTGAACCAAAAAGTACATTCATGGCTGTGAACATTTGAGAGTTAAAGGTCAAAAATTTCCCTTTATTCGCAACTCTAATCACACTAGGGAAAAAAAATTGGAATAGAGAAAAGACAATTTTTGTAAAATGAGTCTGGTCAGAAATATAATTTTTTGGAAGGACAGTATTCATAGGAAAAGACAATTTCTACAAAAAAATAAATAAATAAAATGAATTTGTAATGAAGTCTTTTCTTGTAGGCCCCCAAAATAATTTCATATGCTATAAATACAATGGTAAGCATTGAATATGACATATCAAACCCCTGTGATCTTTACCTTGAAAATCCTACACTCAGAAGACAGTTGCACGAGGTCCCCGTGGTTAATGTCCTAGTATCAACCTGCACTATAAGCATTTTGAATAGCAATTAGTATTTGTCGATCAATAATTTCTGCATTGATGTAATTTTAGAGGCCCTCAAACATGTACGGAAAAGTCGCAGAACAGCTGTTTTGAGCATGACCAACCTTCTAGCTTTACATATATAATACAACAAACAACAACATCTATCAAATAAAATCAAATGGTCCCATTTGGCTCCACCATATCCATGGAGTGTTAGAGAGGTTGGCAAATTGAAATTTGCCAAAAACAAAGCCAGTTTTTGCAATCTTAAGTGCAGATTTTTAACTATCGATAACTATGGCCTTATCTACTGCAATACTGATTGAGCAGTCCCAATCATGCTGTTATTATTGAGTCCTTGGGGTGTCAATTGGGCCATACATGTGAGACACTGGAACATAAGACCAAGACCGACCGTCCATTCGTTTGGAGGTGTTCACTGTAAAGACTTTGCAGATTTTCGACAGTGTTTTAGTATCATGTTAAAACACGGAAATGTAGGGGTGAGGAAGAAGAAGAGGAAGAAGCGGAAATAAGATTGTCAAATAAATTGAATTAACAAGAATGTATGTCTTGTTTTTTACTTTGTTTTGTACTTCTCTTCCTTCCATCTCTTACCAATTTTACCATGCTTTAATCTTGCAGGCCGATATCTGATGTTTCTAGTGATCTTACAATTGAATTAGGAGCATCAAGTTTTGCACTTCACAAGGTAAGGACAATGTATTTTGGCATTTGTATTACTTATTGGCTTTTGATTTATTGATTGGTGATGTGCCCATAATTTCAAGTACTTACTATCTATAGGGGTTTATAAACATAGCAGTTGCAGAAAAATTAAATACACAATACTTACTGAAAAAAAAAAATTAAATAAATAAATACAGAATGGGAGTAGGAGTTGAAGAAAAATTTATCAATATATGTATATATAGGGGTTTATCAATATATATGTATATATAGGGGTTTTCAAGTACTTACTATCTATTGGGGTTTATAAACATAGCAGTTGCACAAAATTAAATACAGAATACTTACTGAAAAAAATTAAAAATACAGAATGGGAGTAGTAGTTGAAGAAAAATTTATCAATATATATATATATATATATAGATATATATATAATTACTATTTACAATTTACAATGAAACAAATCTAACACCACTTGTATTGGTTGCTTTAGAATCAAACTGGTTACATCTCAAACATGGGTTTTATGTTATCAATCTTAGATCCCATAGCCACCAGTTTCTGTTGGAAAACGAAATCTACTAGGTTGGATAGAAGTAAGGCAGAACTTCTTTCTTCAATATTTTGTGGTTTATAAATGTAAAACACTTGCAAGAAGAACATTGCATCTGCAATAGGTCCATTACTAAACATTTGAGTTACAAAACGAGGCTCAAAAAATGACAAAACTGGCAATTTTACCTGAAAAATGTTCAGATACTATTTGAATTGAAATGGACTAGTTTGTGTTTGTATGTGAACATTATGAACTTTCAATATATAAATTGCATAACTATAAATCTCAATATAGATATGAAGTAAAAACTGCTTACAGAACATATTCTGGTGATCAAATGCAATGACTAGTAAGAAATAAAATTTGGTACTACGAGAAGTAACTCAAGACAATAATAAAGGAAAAAGGAAAAATCAATTTCACTCGAGTATTTCTTTTGCAGTTCCCTCTAGTTTCACGGAGTGGAAGAATTCGCAAGCTGTTGCTGGAAGCAAAAGACTCAAAAATTACACGAATAAATCTTCCAGCTGTCCCAGGTGGACCAGAGGCATTTGAGCTAGCTGCAAAATTCTGTTATGGCATGAACATTGATATCACACTATCAAATGTTGCTATGCTACGATGTGCAGCCCATTTCCTTGACATGACAGAAGACTTTGCCGAGAAGAACCTGGAAGCACGAACTGAAGCATATCTGAAGGAGACAGTGCTCCCAAACATATCAAACACGATATCTGTTCTTCACTACTGCGAAAAGCTCCTACCTTTATCAGAAGATATCAACCTAGTTAGCAGGCTCATCAATGCAATTGCGAGTAATGCATGTAAAGAGCAGCTCACCTCTGGTTTGTCCAAACTTGAGCACAACTTCCCTGCAAAACCAGTCCCAAGCATGGAAGCAGAAACACCCTCGGACTGGTGGGGAAAATCACTCTCGGCTCTCAATCTTGATTTCTTCCAACGGGTTCTATCTGCAGTGAAAACAAAGGGCCTCAAACAGGATATAATCAGCAGAATTTTGATCAATTATGCCCACAATTCTCTTCAAGGCCTGGTCGTTAGAGACCCCCAGTTAGTTAAAGGAAGTCTCTTGGACTTAGAACTGCAGAAGAAACAAAGGGTCATTGCTGAAGCAATAGTTAGTTTACTACCGTCCCAATCAAGGAAAAGTACAGTCCCAATGGCATTTCTTTCAAGTTTGCTGAAATCTGCAATATCTGCATCGGCATCTATTTCTTGCAGATCGGATTTAGAGAGGAGGATCGGTCTGCAACTGGACCAGGCAATTCTTGAAGACATCCTCATTCCAGCAAGTTCACATGGAAACAACCACAGCCCCATGTACGATACGGATTCAATTTTAAGGATCTTCTCCATTTTCTTGAACTTAGATGAGGATGATGAAGACGACAATCACTTGAGGGACGAAAGTGAAATGGTTTATGATTTCGACAGCCCTGGATCTCCTAAGCAGAGCTCAATTCTGAAGGTATCAAAGCTATTGGACAATTATCTTGCAGAAATCGCGCTAGATTCAAACTTGATGCCATCAAAGTTCATATCACTCGCAGAATTACTTCCAGACCATGCTCGTATGGTGTATGATGGACTGTACCGAGCTGTGGATATCTTTCTCAAGGTGAACGTACAACTCTCTCCTCCCCCCTCCTATCTCTCTCTCTCACACACACACAAACTAGGCAGCTCCCAGCGTGCTACACTTTGTTGCTACACACAATGCTAGATTTTTCAGGGGTTCTAAAAACCAATAATTTATGGTTGCTTTTGACAGGTTCATCCAAATATCAAGGACTCTGAGCGTTACCGGCTCTGCAAAACCATCGACTGTCAGAAACTATCTCAAGAAGCCTGCAGCCATGCAGCACAGAACGAAAGACTCCCCGTGCAGATGGCAGTCCAAGTGCTATACTTTGAACAGATTAGGCTTCGGAATGCAATGAACGGGGGTCACAATCAGTTCTTCTTTGGCTCAATCAATGGTCAATTCCCTCAGCGTTCAGGCAGTGGTGCAGGAAGTGGATGCATCTCACCGAGGGACAATTATGCATCCGTAAGGAGAGAGAACAGAGAATTGAAGCTTGAAGTTGCAAGAATGAGAATGAGGCTAACCGACTTAGAAAAGGACCATGTCTCCATGAAACAAGAGCTAGTAAGGTCACACCCTGCAAACAAGTTGTTCAAATCATTCACCAAGAAGCTAAGCAAGCTCAATTCCCTATTCCGAATCAAAGATCTTAAGCCCGTAGGAGGCAAGGCTCATTCAGAAGCACAGTATTTATTTCAGAAGCGAAGGCGCCACTCCATTGCATGACCATGTATGTGCATGTGAATAAGTGAGTGTATAGTAGTGTTACCATATTGTGGATTTGTGTCTGATGTGGATAGTGTTGAGAGTGAGTTGATTTTGGGTTGATGTGTTGAGTGAGATTGCTCCCTTAATTTTTGATGGAGTCTTTGAAGGCAGGCACTCAATCAAACATGTATTCTAAAGGTGGTATGTCTAAAGGTGTGTGAGTTAGGTATAAACAGCTTTTTACCATATTTTTCAGCTCGTCAGTTTATTACACTCTTGAATACACCTTTCTTTGGAGGATATCCTAAGATGGAAAGAGGATTACTCTGAACACCCAAGAAAAATAATATCGTTCTTCCTCAGTAGCCACGGACGGATCTAGGAATTCATATGGGGGAAATTTATATAAAGGTGTTTTTTCATAATTTCAGTGGGGGTAATTTAAAAAAAAATTAGGTATAAATGCAAAAAAAGTATAAATTTAAGAATATAAAATGTAATAATAAAAAATTTCATCTACGGAGCCCTTCACAGATCCGTGCCGTAGCGTTATGTTAGAAACAAAGAGGCCAACACTTGCAATGACAGGAAGAAGGAGGCAAGCAATATAAGTGCCCAACGGAAACTAGTGGATGACAATTAAAAGGAATTTGAATATATATACACAAATACGTGTAGGGTCAAAAATTTATTAAACCTCCTCTCCCTTACTTATTAGTCCAGTTTAACAAGATATCACAAAGAAAATAAAGTATTGATTGGGATGACTACCGAGTAGCCTAATATTAGGCGGGTCTTCTCCCACATCAAATATTTGCATAATTGTATGCTTCAGTTTCTTCCGAGGAAACGTTTTATATTTGCAGCAAAAGTTCCTTTAGCATGGCGAGCAGTTGGAGCTGTTTTGATGATCTGGGCTGCCATGGTCTTGGCGATAGACTGGGTCTCTATGGACGGGTGTTTGCAAGGGCCAAATATTTTGTTATGTTGTTATATTTTGAGGTTGCCATAGTTTGCCTCTTGGATGTTGTTAGTGTTGTGGTTTGTGGAGTTTCAGCTACTCGCATTGTAGTGTCCCGGAATTTTTAATATTTTATTTTTCGTGCATCGTTTTATGTGCCATGTGGGACTCGGTTATTTTTATTCCATGTGTTTATTTGTTTTTTTGGGACATTGATGTGTGGGACATATATATTTTGTAATTGACTAATTTCGTTATTAAAACAAGTCTGATCGAGTTGTAATATTTCAGTTTAAAATTTCAAAATTAAAGATCAGAAGCGAATTTGAAAAACTTCAAGTATTCATGCTTTAATATACTCCAAAATGATGAAAACAATGTTTAAAAAAGGTATGTGAGTGTGTGAGAACACTTAGGAAATTTGGGAAGTTTAAAACACAACTTTTAGGATGTTTTTACATTTTGTCCAACTTGAGCAAGTTCAAAAATTTTGGAATAGGTTCAGCTTTTAAGGCTTTTTGGTTGAATTCAAGTCTGGCCGACTTGAACCGGTTCAACCACCCTGAACCGGTTCAAGTATCACAGAAAGTTTAGATTGTTTTCTTTGAAAACTTACTGGTCAACTTGAACCGGTTCAACCACCCTGAACCGGTTCAAGGTCTTTTGATTTGTTTTGGTAACTTACTTTCTTGGTCTGTTTTTATTCCTATTTGGTTTAGACTTCCTTCCAAAATCCTATGGAAAAATTTGACTTGATTTCCAAGTATTCTTAAGTCTTCCAAACTTTAATATTATTTCTCTTTCATTTAACATTGAGGTATGACTTTTTGGAACGAGAATTCATTATTTTGAGAAAGCCTTGTGAGAGATATTTTTCAGAAAATCAAATCTGATTTTTCTGTTTTTATTTTAAGAACACGTATGAGAAGTGTTGTTCTCTATTTCATCAGATTGGAGCATAATTGAAGATTTAGAGTTTCTGAAAAGCAGATCTATTTCTTTTACAACAAATTCAGATCTTGAAGAAAATGGGTGAAACGATCACACTTTGAAAGGGTCAAAGCATTCGAGAAGTGTTGTTTGATCTACCAACAATCTTTTTACAGAGATCAAGAGTAAACCTAGAGTAAAGAGCTGTTGGACGGGATGTCGCAAAGTCGGAGATTGTCAGCAATTGGTTTTTGGTAGAACAATAGGGTGTAAGCCTGAGTCAAAGTTCATTGTAATTTATTTCAAACATAGTGGATCATTTTATTCTGAACTACACAGTCCACGAGGTTTTTCCAACAACAATTGGTCTCTTCTGCTAATTGGGGTTTCCTCGCTAAAAATTATGGTGTCATCTCTCAAACTTTACATGCTTTATTTTTCAGTATTTATCTTTGTGATTAATTGTGGATATTTAATTGATCATATTACTTGAGTAAATTAATCAATCACAAAATCTGGGCAAGTTGACCTAATAATTTCATCTAGGTCATTTATGGATTTAATCACAACAAAATCAACTAAACAGCTTCCACACCACGTAACTGACATTTGGTATCAGAGCGGGTTACTCGATATATTGAGTAGATTATACTTGTTGATATGTTGTGATTTTTGCATCATGTCTGATAATTCACCTTCTTTTGATACATTGCCTTTACCTCCTATTTTTGATTCTGTCACAAGCATGTATATTGAATGGTCTAAGTTTAAAAAGGATTTTGAAAATTTGTTAAAGAAGTTGAAACTTGCGGAACTTGATAGAGATATTTGTATGTTAGAAGTTTCTGTGTCTAATAAAAATTTGGAAGAACTTGGCCATAAAAATTTGAATCTTCTTTATACAGTTGATTTTCTGAAAAAGGAACTTGAGCAAGTAAATATGTTTAATAAATCACTTGAACTTGAAATTAATAATTTGAGCAGTGAGTTTATTAAATCAAAACAGTTTTTTTTAGAAATTTGACGCTGACACTTGCAAGATTGATAAGTTGAAAGGAGTGGTTAAGAACACTAGTAGTAACAAAGAATTAGCTTCAACTTCAAAGGATTTGTATTTTCAAAAATCTAAAGATGTTTTTGTGAAAGTTAAAACAAAACCTTGTGTTATCACTAGTTCTCCTAGACTTATTTCAATATGTCTTTTTCGTGGAGAAAAAAGTCATATAAAATATAAGTGTCAGAAAAGAAAATTTGAACTTAGGCTAAAATCGAAAAATCTAGAGAGTTCAAATAAGAAGAAGAGAAGTATTAGGTTTTTTGAGCCTTGTGACACTTTGTCTAAGACAATAGGGAAATCATTGCATAATGAATCTAAGATTGTTTGGGTGAAGAAAGAGAATTTTAAATGCCTTGTTATGCACACTGCATTTAGATCATTAGGTCCATGTGGTTGGTACTTTGATAGTGGTTGCTCTAGGCATATGACTTAGGATAGAACACTGTTTACAACGTTTAAGGATTGCTCAGTTGGAATTATTACTTTTGGTGATGGTAATGCTTCTAGTGTAAATGGTAAATGTAAGATCAAATTTCTATGAATTTGGGAGTTAAAAAATGTTCTATATGTTAAAAGTTTAGCTGCTAATTTGTTGAGTATTAGCCAAATTTGTGATGAGGAATTTCAAGTCAATTTTACTCAACAAGGGTGTTTTGTAACTAATAAAAAAGGTGAATGTGTTTTGAAATGAACTAGAACTTTTGATAATTGCTATGTTATTTATTCAGATCATTCACTTATGTGTTTTTCTGCAATTACTGATGAGGCAATTTTATGGCATAAAAGACTTGGTTATGTATATTTTAATGATTTGGTAAATTTGTCTAATAATGATCTTGTTCGAGGTTTGCCTAAATTGAAAATGCCTAAGAATGAAATATGTAGTCTGTGTCAATTAGGAAAACAAACTAGAGTGTCGCATAAGAGACTTCTCCATAAAGTCACCACTCGACCTTTAGAATTGATACATATGGATTTGATGGGTCGCATAACACCTGATAGCATTAGAGGAAAAAGATATTTGCTTGTTATGGTTCATGATTATTCTCGATTTACATTGATTACCTTTTTGCGAGAAAAGTTTGATGCTTTTGTGAATCTCAGGTCTATTTGCCAACTAATTCAAAATAAGAAGGGATATCAAATTACTCGGATTATGAGTGATAATGGAGGAGAATTCGAACCTAAGGAGTTAATTGAATATTGTGATAAGTTTAGCATTAAGCATGAATTTTCAGCACCTAAAATACCACAATAGAATGGTATAGAGGAAAGGTAAAATAGGACAATAGCAAGTATGGCTTGTACTATACTTCATTAGAATAAAATTGCTAGTTATTTTTGGACTGAATCAGTACGTACTGCTTGTCATATCCTAAATAGAGTATATATTAGGCCTAGAACTAAAAAAACTTCATATGAATTGTGGTATGATAGAAAGCCCATTGTTAAATACTTTAGAGCCTTTGGAAGTAAATGGTATATCCTTAGAGATAGGGAACACTTGGGAAATTTGACTCTAGAAGTGATGAAGGTGTCTTTTTGGGTTATTCACAAACAAGTCGGGCTTATAGGGTTTTTAATCTTAGAACCAATTTTGTTATGGAATCAATTAATGTTGTGTTTGATGATACAAGGCATAAGGTAATCTCTACTCAACTTGATAAGGATGAGACTAACTTTGAAATTGTAGGAGATAGGGATGAACCTACAGTTCATGAGGAAGAAAAAGTTGGGAATTTAGGCGGAGAAGGTGAGGAGGTTGAAGAGGATGTTGATGAAGAATTAGAGGTCACCATTGATGAACCTATAGGAATTCTTGTACATTCTTTATACATTCCCACAACTTGATAAGGATGAGACTGACTTTGAAATTGTAGGAGATAAGGATAAACCTACAGTTCATAAGGAAGAAAGAGATGAGAATTTAGGTGGAGAATGTGAAGAGGTAGAAGAGGATGTTGGTGAAGAATTAGAGGTCACCATTGATGAACCTATAAGAATTCTTGTACCTTCTTTATATATTCCCACATCTAGTAGTTCTAGGGTTCGATCGAGTCATCCAATTGACAATGTGATAGGTCTATGGGATAAACGGAGTACTAGGAGTATAGTCCGTAGTGATCAGTTTGGATACTCATACTTTGTAGATAATATAAGACACTCATGTCACATGGCTCAATTTGAACCAAAGAATGTTGATGGAGCTCTGCAAAGTTATAATTGGCTTATGGCTATATAAGAAGAGTTGCTTCAATTTGTGAAAAATGATGTTTGGGAATTAATGCCTTAACCTAGTGATGTTAATATCATAGGGACCAAA